GGTAGTTGAGAATCACTGCTAGAGATTAAAAAAAAAACAACCCCCTATTGTTCATCATCAGTATAGGACTGGTCTCTACTCGGCGTCCTTTCCAGTACATTGGTCTGTCTGCATATGAAGGTAAATTTCTACCAGTTTCCACATCTTTAGGCCAGGCCTGATCTGACATTCCCAGCGCTGTTGCAGTAACATTACAACAGTCCTAGAAACCTTTACCTGAGTTAGGAAAGCAGGTTGGAAGCCAAACTTTGCTTTTTATTTGTACCGAATTTTTCATCTCTTCAGTTGTTGGGTCCCACAGTTCCATAACTTAGAATAACTTGGAGAGGAAGAAGGTTGCAGGATGAAACCATATTTTCCCTGGCACAAGAGGACATACAAAGCTCTCTGGTTTGACCGGTGCTAAGGAGGAATTAGATGCAGAGACCCTCACTTTTCAGTTCATTTTTCTAACACATATTAATAAACTTCCCTTTCCAACACACTTTGTGACACCCGGTTCCCAGTTTGTAGATGGCACATAACACAGGATAGCCAAGGGATTGTTCTGTGGCCTGGAGCAAGGTTCCCTCTACGGTGTGCACGTGCATGGACATGCACAACTAAGTCTGGCCATGCACAGCCTTTTCAAGGCTGTGCACCAGCAGAGGAGCTGAAGGTCAGCTCCTAGGCGATGTGGGGGTGGGAGCCTGGCATGGGCTCCGCCAGCTCCGGGGAACTGCTTCACTTCCCCACTTTGCCTCAGAGTGAGGAGGCATGTGGCATCAGGGCTGGAGAGTGGAGCACTTCCCCGGAACTGGCAGAGCCTGTGTCAGCCCCTGCTCCAGCCTCCATTCCTGCCTTGCCACACCTCAGGGAGGAGCCACTGCCTGCCCCAAGTGAAGCTCCGCTGGCTCTGGGACTCTGCTCCAGTTCCTGGCCCTGACGCCACATGCCTCCTTGCTCCCCGAGATGATGCGGGGGAGCGGAGCAGTGTCCCAGAGCCAGCAAAGCCTCACTCAGGGCAGGCAGCGGTTCCTCCCTGAGGCGAGGAAAGGCAGGGATGGAGGCTGGAGCTGGAGGCTGGCGTGGGCTCCGGGCAAGTGCTCCACTCCCTGGCCCTGATGCAGGGGAGCAGAGCGCTTGCCTGGAGCCGGCAGAGCCCACGCCAACCCCTGGCTCCAGCCCCCGGCCCCAGCTCTGCCCCCCAGGATCCCGCCTCCGGCCCCAGCTCCAGCCCCCAGCATCTCAGCTCTGCTCCAGCCTCCAGGCCCCAGCCCCCCGTCCTCAGCCCCCTTTGGTAAGTGTCTCGTGCCGGACTGAGGCAGCATGCTCACGGACCGAGGCAGCACGCTCACAGACCGCTACTCCTTAGAGGGAACATTGGAATCTGGAGCAGCCTTCCTTGTAGGGAGGTAGAGGTGCACCAATACATCAGTCCAATATTGGATTGGTACTGATATATTTGGCCAATAAATGCTTGCACGTGCACAGCTGCAGCACAGTACTCAGGCAATGAGGAGCAGAGCTGTGTGCAGCTGGTAAGTCTGTTGTGGTGGAAGAGGTAGGGGAAAGGAAGGGGAATGGTGGGGGCAGATCTATGCCCCCTGTAGTGAGGGAGGGGGCAGAGGCAGACACTGCCCAGCTGGGGTGGGACCCAGAACAGAGGCATGGCTCCTGGAGGGGGGCTCCCACCATTACTTGTATCCCGGGAGGGCATGGGGGAGGTGGGGGCACGTGCCCCTGGATCTGCACAGGGCAGGTCGGGCTGCAGCTGTGGCCTGGAGCCAGGGCTGCACCGGGCATTTCTTGGTGGGGGCTGGGCTCAGGGCAGGGGCTACAGAGGAGGCTGCAGCCATTCCTAATTTCCCCATAGCCCCACTCCCAGTGCTGCTGCCACCGTGTTCTCGGCGCAGCTCTGGTTCTTCTCAGTGCATGGGTGGAGGCAAAGCGTTGGGCCAGGTCTGAGTCAGGTGAGCAGTGGTGGCAGTGCTGGGAGCAGGGCTATGGTGAATTCTGAAGTGGCTGCAGACCCCTCCCCTCCATAGCCTGGGTCCTGGGCCCAGCCCCCACTGAGAAGAGCCTGACATAGCCCCGGCTCCAGCTCACAGCTGCAGCCCACCTCACCCTGTCTTGTGCCCCCTCCTTGCTCTCCCAGGGGTGCAAGCAGTGGTCGGAGTTGCCCCCCCCCACCCCAAGGAGCCCCGGCTTTGTCCCGTGCCCCGCCTCAGCTGGGCAGTGCCTGCCCCTGCTCCCTTTCCCACTGCAGGGGGCATTGATCTGCCCCCCCTCCTTCCTTCCCCTTCTACCACAACAGACTTACCAGCTGTATCAGAAATAGGATCAGTATCAGCTGATATGCCTCCTTAAAAATTGGCTATCGGTATTGGCCAAAAAATCTGCCGGGTGCACCCCTAGAGGTAGTGAATATGTCCTCTCAGGAGTGTCAGCTTCAAGCTTCTTCTCATGTACTTCCCATACCACCTCAATACATGGGGTAAAGCAGGTGAGCACTGTAGTAGATAACAATGGAATTGCAATAGTCCCTCAAGTCTAGTAACTAGGAAGTCGTGTCCAGGTTGTCTTGGAGTGTACGTGTGTGTGTGTTAGTTTGGGTGTGTGTATGTAGTATCCTCTTCTCTGAGTGTAAAGTGCAGGGCTCTCTCTAGTCACAACAAGCCTAAATTCCTTTCTCCCCTTATTGTCCCACTCTTGCCTTTGGTTCAAGTCCTAGTTTTGTAAGGATAATGCTATGCAACAGTCTCTATTCTCTGTTTTGATGGGGGTTCAATTATTCACCTAAATGTTCTGCATTAAGAGTCCTGAGAGAGCACAGAAGCATCACAGAAGACCTTCTCTCAATGTGACAAGTTGCTGTCTTTCCCAGATTGCTCTGGGAATGCACCTCTAAATCATTATAACAATTAAATGGTGAAACAGAAAGCCTGGGAGAATGCTGAATAGAACCCAGTGAGTTCACTCCCAGTCCAATCCTTTAGTCACAAAACCAGCCTTCCTCCCAGCTGAAGGATGAGGATTCAGGTTATACAGTCATACCTTAAAGACAACCCTTTTGCAGTCCCCTGGGGAATAGAGAGCCTTTTGCTACCATTGCCCCAAACTTCAGCCAAGATGGCCTTCTGAAAGGATTATGTTGCCCCAACTTACTGTAGGACCTCTGTGCCATAGCTGAGAGATCACAAAATCATTGCTCTACCATAGCGCTGTGAGAGACTAGTCCCTCAGTTCCATTTGGTTTGTGCATCTCGGAACAGGACTGATGAGCTCCAGTCAGCCACTGGCACCATGCTGATTCCTGTTATACCACTCCTGCATCCCATGGTCTAGTGGAGGGGTGTGACACGTATGCCACAAGTAGCACAGGCAGCCTCTGTGTGTGGCACATAGCAATTTGGTCAGGGAGCAGGAAACGGAGAAGTAGATCAGGCAAGAGAAAGGCATCAAACTGGTACTTGGGGAAGGTGTGTGGCTTAACTTGTGGCACATTGCCAAAAAGGTTGGCCCCCATTGGTCTAGTGGAACTGATGAAGGGTTTATAGGGCATCAGCTTCATTTTGACACCAGTGAGACTTATCTTCTTTGATGGTATAATTGGTTTTTCTGTTTTTCTTCCCTGGTGCTGGTATGAAAGGCCTGGTAAGTCTTAAAGCTCTTCTTTTGTTGGGAATGGACACAAGAAAGTTGAAACTTGGCTTTCACAGAGCTCTGCAGCTGCACACCAGCTGAGAATTGAGACTCGGGGGAATTTTTTTTCTGCTGTCAAGGCACTTGCCTGAAGAGACAGCTTGAGGTCAGCCTAGCAACTGCTCTGTCTACAAAATCAGGCATTGATTCTTTAAAGAGCAGTCTTATATTAATTGGTGGCCAGTTAAATTACTCTGGGGGCCCTAGCTCACTGTCATGGACAGTACTCATTTGTTAATCGGTTGACATCAGCAGATGTTGTAGAGTTTTTATTTGTACAACTAGATAAATAAAGGAAACCAATTTATCCGAGGATAATTCCACTAAACCAGGGTGCATGAGATTTATATGAATGTGAGAGTTTCACAGTTTTCTGGTCTATAATATTTCATCCTTCACTAGGTAACTGAAACTGGTAGCTCCGAGTTCTCCCTGTTTGGAGCTAACCTCAAGTCCAAGTGAACCTAAGACCTTGGGTATTCAGTCTATCAGAAGAACTTCAGAACTCAATTGTTGTTTTCTTCATTTTCTACATGGTACAGAGACCAGGTCTTCACCTGTATTGAGCTTTACATACCTTGTATGCATCCCACTGTCCATGAAACTATTAATGCTGCCTTCACTGTGGTACCTGTTTTCTGCCACCCTGGAAAAGTATACAGCTCCTGATCCACCTCTGTTAATGTGCCCTGTTTATAATAATCCCAAAATCCAATACCCAATTGTTCATTAATATAATGCAGAAAATTGACTAACCTATTATAGCAAACACCCTATTTTAATGAACCTTTCTCACAATTCTATGGGGATTCATTCTAATGAGCTTGTACTATGTCAATCGCTTTTCATATCTGTTGTTGTCTCCCAAGCAATCGCTCAGAGGCTTTTTGGCTGACCCCAGAGCTTGTTTCTGAAAGCCTCGCTATCTGAGAAACTTCTACCAGAAAGCAAGTAAAAAACTTACTTGCTAACCAACTTTGACTTGGTGATCCTTCAGTAGTCACACTGTACATTAGTGTTTCAGCAGCATCTTCTGTCTTCAGGCCCCTTTTGCTGATCAGAGCCTCCTCCACGGGAGGTTTCTCTTAGGGATTGATCTCTGATGAAAATCCATCAAACTCTGCCATGAACAAAGCTATACACATTCTGTTGTTCAGTGGGGTGTTTAGTTGGAGAATTAAGCACGCTGCAAAATTTTCCCATGGTCTGAGACGCATGCCATTGGCATTCATTACTAACAACGTATGATTAACTGAGCAGCTGAGAAAATGACCCCTCTTCCTTTTTTCCTTCTTCGGTTTCTTTGCTTTGAAATTTCCAGATCAAGGAAGAAGAGTAGCAGCTCAAGAGTCTCCTGCTGGGTAGCTACAGTTTTGCAGGTGTCTGCGTTCCCTCAAGTAGCAGCAAAATTCATCAGGCTGATCCTGCACCACTACACCATGAGCTTGAAGGTAAGTCAGTCCTGCTAGTTTAAGGCCAGTTTCTTCGATTTGTGTGAATCTGCAGAGATCCACTGGCTTAAAAAACGTGCTGTTAATTGACCCTGTTGAAGATCTGGCTTATTGCTTTCATTCATAAATAATCTCTTTCTTGCTGTGAAGGGACAGTTGATTCTTCCATCCAGCCCTCTGGCACAGTGCTAATGACTTACTTTAACTTCCAATGACAGAATCTTTTGTGCTAGATCCTGGGGCTAGATCAGGGAAAGGCCATTCAAAGCCAACAAACACATATACAGGTGTATATGTGTATAAATGGCAGGAGGCTATATTTGGAGTGAGTGACTCTTATATTCTCCAGTCAGCCTAAGCACAGTACCCAACCTGCTGAGTCCAGCCTGTGTGTAGACAACTTGATAGAAATGAGTTTTCAAACAAGTAATTCTGAACCAGGGTGCCGTAGCTGATCAGAGAAGGGTACTTTAAAATGGGAGAAGACTGCTGAGGTGCGAGGAGATGAGCAGATAGGGGCAGGCTCTGGCTTGTCCCTGCCTGGCTGACCCCCAACCCCACTGCCCAGCTTCTCTGCAAGGAGGTAAGCACTGTAATAAATACATTAATTTTTTTAATTGAGTGCCACTCAGTTCACAAAAGTTATGGAGGGGTGCCTCGAGTCCAGTGAGAGGCGTCTTAAGTCAAAAATGGTTGAGAACCCTGATCCAAACAAAAACAGTGTTTGTGAGACTATTAGTGGGTTAATGAATTAAAATTTCCCTTTTTGCTACAAGAACATATTAAGTCAGGGGTTTTCAACTTTTTTTAATAAGTGTACCCCGGGCAGCCCCTTTTTTTAGTAAGAGTACCCCTGGGGGAGGGGGTGGCGAGCAGCCAGACACTAAACGGGGGAGAGGGTGGCAGCAAGAGGCCAGATGCAGAGCGGAGCAGCACAGCATGTGTTTGGCCCTGCTCTTGCCCTGCCCCGGTCCTGCTCCTGAGAGGCAGCAGCACGGGGTGGCAGCAGTCTGTCCCCTTCTGCCCCCATGTATCCCTTGGGACCTTTCAAGGTACCTCCAGGGGTATGTGTACCTGTGGTTGACAACCCCTGTACTAAGGTAAGAGACTGACACAAATTGCACAGAAATCGATAGAAAGTTCTTGCTTACTTCAAAAGGCTTTAGATCTTGTGCTAACTCTCAAGGTGTCACTGGAGTTGCTCCACTGTAAGACAGGTGTGAAACGTGATTCACATCTACTACCTCTCTGTGACACACTAGGCCAGTTTCTCCTTCACTGTTATGTGCTATGTTCATAACCCTAGCTGAGACTGAGAGCAGGGAATCCATATTTTTCCATTCCCTAGTAATTACGTTGTAGTGGCCATTAACAAATGGAAAGCAAATGCTAATGCATCTTGGGAAAAGGGATGGGGCTAGATCTAAAGCCCACTAAGGGCAATCAGAATTGGCCTCAGTAGCCTTAGACCAGGTGCATCACGAGCAAATGGATAGATCCATAGCAGGTATAAGAGATCTCATTTTCTGTAAAGTTTGTTTCTACCAGTGCCCAGAAAGTCCTGCTCTAGATGAGGCCAAATAAAATGGCCATAACCAGAGCTGACAGCAGCTGCTCTGAGATACTGTAGGGTGTATAATGGCCCTAAACCTGGGAGGTGGAAAGGTAAGTAAGCCATCTCTCCCCACTCCACTCCTATGCTCTGACTTCTATGCTGTGCGCCTGATCTTTAGCCTGAAACTTGAAAGGTTTCTTTCTTATAATCAGAGGCAATTGTTAGGAATTTGGATTCCCATTTAAAGAAAAACTTTAATGAGCACAAGAATATGCCAGTTTGTTTCTCCTCCTGGAGTGCATGCCATTCCTGTCAGAGACCAGTGCTCTGTGCCTTGTTTTTTAGGGTTTAGATTATCTAAGGAATTCTCTCTTGAGAGAGAGGGAAGTCTGGTCTAGTGGTCATTGGAGGAAGGAGACTGCCCTGTCCAACCTTACAGTTCCAACCTAATAAAACAACCAGACTTGAGCACAGGACAACTCTCTCCTTTATTATCTCATTGTGGAGTAAGAACCAAGACCTGTTTTCAGCCTTGGGGAATTTTGAGACCCAGTGGTGTAGGAGAGCCATCCATCTCTAAGTGGTCACTGGAGCCTATTGTTTGCTTTCTGTTTCAAGGGCATTAGGAAGGTTATCGCATTCAGTTATCTCTACAGCCAGTTATCCTAATAGAGTTGTATTACCCTTGCTGTGGTGCTTTGCTGTCTGATTTCATTCAAAACTACCCTTGAGCAAAGGTTGTCTCTGCTAATGATCCCCACAAAGCCCCTGCTTCCCTACCCTGACTCCTTACATGGGTCTGAGGATAACAAGAAACCATATGTTTAGCTATAATAGCATGGCCTAATAATTAAAGCACAGAACTCAGGGCTAGGGGCCCTGCCCTAGATTCAACTTCATCTGTCACTGATTTGTTCTTGACTTTTTTGGGTCACTTTAATTCTGCTCTGGCTCAGTTTCCTCGAAGCTGACATCTTCCTTCCTCACTCTGCTAAACTCTTCTCTTTTTGGAGCCAATCTGTATCAAAGCAGAGATGGGTCTTGCAACTGGAATAGTGAAGATGATTTGTCCCTAGATACAGAACTTGCAAGGGTAATAAGCAAGGACTTACCTAAACCCTTGCTTAATCAATGTATTTCTAGGCCTCAGTGAAATAAAATTGGGAAAGTTGGTCAACTTTCCAGCACTCCTGGATTTTGGACCTGTGTCCCAGAAGGCTCCTTGAAATTGAACTTATTGTCCATATTTGTAAAATTGGTTCCAGAGAACCAGATAAATCCTTCCACTTGCATCTTCCATATGGCTCTTAAAACAAAGCTGTGTGGGGAAGCACTTCTTCATTTCCAAAGCTTTGAGAATGAGATCTATTGAAACCTAAAGCCATTTCAAAATCCAAATACAGTAAAAGCTTTGTTATCCAGCATAAGTTGGGTAAAGAGGGGTGCTGGTTATCTAAAAATCCCAGTTCTCTGAGAGTTATACTGGTCCCAGCCCACAGCGGCAGCCTGCCCTGTCCTGCCCAGATCCTTTTCTCTTTCCCCCACAGACATCTGGCAGCTCCTCTATTGGCAGCATTACTAAGTCATGTAAACAACAGAAATACTTGATTCGCTTGCCGGATAGACTCGGCAAAGATCCCGGTTGCTAAAGAGAGGAATTGTATTGGGGGATATTGGTTAATATCCGGTTAATAGAGTGTTCCGGTTAGTAAAATGCCAGTTAGCACAGCTTTTACTGTAACTTGCCTGATTTTAAGATGCTACATTTATTATTGACTCTAGTAGATGTTATGAGGTTTTGCAAATTAGGGAGGTTCTTCAGATGGATTTAAGAGTTTAATTTTAAACAACTAATCTTGCAAGTGCTGGTGGTAGATTTTAAAGGTGTGATTATACAGGCCCTTGGTATAAACTAGCGTATTTATGATTTCTGGGTGAAGAACTTTCAACATATGATCCATCATCTGTTCTGTACCACTACTTCCTTTTGCAAAAGGAGATAGCAGAGCATCAGGGTGCTGCCCAGTTTGTTGTAAGCTGGCCTGGGTATTGGATGTTCCTGTATCTTCCGTAGCTGTCTGCTTCTCCCCAAGACCTGAGAAGGGTAGTGTGTGCTCAAAAACTTGTCAAACCTCTTCAGTTGCTTCAATAGAAGATAACGCAAAACAGCTTAGCTCCTTAAAGAGGCACCTCCAGGTTCTGTGGTTTTGATGTCTGTCAAGGGTTATGGAAAATTCTTGAAAGACATATAGATCTGTGCCAGAACACTTCAGTCTCCATGGACACAACATTGCTGACCTCAGAGCAGCTATTCATAGACAGCAAAACTTTAAAAACCAACTTGAATGGGAAATTGTGGCACAAGAAATCATCCACAGACTGAATTGTGTCAAGTATGGTCTAAAGAGCAATTATGGGTTCTTATCCCATTACCTGGATTAGCTTTTGTGATGCCTTTGTCCATACGGGTTTATTGTTTGTTTGCCTCTCCCAGCACTGCTACCTTTCCCACCTCTTCTCCCTCCCACCATCCCTTCTCTGTCTTCGGTATACAAGCCACTCCATTCCACGCAGTGTTCAGTGCATGTCCTTTCACAACATCTGCTGAACTGAGATTGGATTTATGAACGCTTATTCTATACATCTCTGATATCGTTAGCTTATAAAGTGCAAATCTACCCTGCCTTCTGCACAGAGTGGGCATTGTTCTCTCATGTGGCTACAGATCTCCAGGGTTGGACAAACTGTGGTGGTTGCTAGTGAAGCAGGTAACCATCTCTTATTGCTTGATGTGTTTTAAAAATTAATCCCAAAATCCATCTGAAGGAAAGGGAGCCATAGGCAGGATTCTACCAATGAGAAAATCCAAATTACTGAGGAGTAATATGTAGTCAAGAGTTGGATCTAACATGCTTTGAAGTGAGACATGACAAGAGCAGCAGCTTATGGACCATTACTTCCCAGGAAATGACAACCAAAGAGTGGTAAGCTCCATGAGAGAGCCCAGTTATGGATAATGCACATCTGAAAGAATCCAGGAATGGAAATCTGATTTATAACTTGTGTTGTAGAGGTGGAAGAACTAACAGCCTTGGTAGCAAATGAGATGACCCCTGCATCAACATGAACCATTGAAAAATGTATGTGGTTTTGATATAGGTGATGAACACTTCATCCAAATCTGTTGCATCTTGTGCCTTGAGCAACAGATCTTAGCAAACTTCTATTCAGATCAATATATACTTTTCCAAGACTGATACTGTTTTAAAACTTTTTCTTTCAATATTCATTTTAGCTGCAGTCTAGGCAACAAGACTTTCTAGAAGCTGAATTTACCATATTTACCATTTACATGTTTACCATTTGTTTAGTAGGCAAAAGTATTCAAGTTTAAAATCTCCATTAAACCTTTTTTTTTTTCCAAATAAGTTAATTGAACCAGTTTTATAGATCACCATTATCACAGCTATGTACCATTCCTATTATTCTAGAATCCAGGGTAATTGTCCCTTATATTTTTGAGTGTGTTGATCTTGCTTATACTTTACATGATTTTGTTGTGTGATATTCTAAATGCCTAGTTCATATTAAATAATATAAAATATAGTGATACAACTTGTACATGCAGTATCTTCTGCATGGGTCCTAAGTGTGCTACTGAGAAAATATAACATTTAAATTCCATTTGAGCAAGAAATTTCCCAAAACACTGAACATGTTTGCAGCTCATGATAAGAAAATGAATTTAGTGAACAGGCTCAAATGTGCACAGACATGGAGAACTGCAAATCTGAAGAGCACTGCAATAATGAGGATTTCTAAGTAATTTGAATGCAAAAAGGTGCCACACTTTTCTGAGGAACTTGCTCCTCTCGTGCTTCTTTGCATTTTTCATTTGTCAGGAGGACAGCGTGATGAGACCAGCCTGCATGACTCTTGTTTGATGTCTCATTAAACTTGCTAGTAGGAAAAGCAGACCTCACTTGATTTCTCTTTATAAAGAGCATGGAGCCTCTGCTCCCTGGCCTCCAGAACAGCATTTCAAAAATAGCTCAGGTAAGAGAAAATGTAGTGTTTGTAAGAGTAAAGGGCTTGTCAAGCATGTGCGGGTGGTACATTATACAATCCATTTCATCCTGACCTATGACGCTTCTGCTATTCCATTTCTGGCTCTCTCGCAGCTCAGCTCTGGCTGACTTCTCTGTCCCCATATGTAACTCAGCACTGCTCTTACAGTTCTGATTCTTAAACTCTTTGTCTTATCCTCAGAGAGATCTTCATGAGAGTCTGTCTGCCATTCCTCTCCATTAAGGAAATGTGGGGGCCAGAACTGTAACTCTTACAAGCAGCAGGCTCTATGATAAGGAAAGGCCAAAGAGACTCAAAGAACAAGATGGGAACATTTCAGCAAACTTAAATATTATGTTCTGGCATGAACCAATCCAAAAAATCAATTTTTCAGTAAAATCAGAGTTTTCCCATGGCAGATCAGAGTTTTATAGAACTTTCAATTTTCTCCTGGGAAATCATTCCAGTGTAAACTTTCCAACCAGTTCTAGACCTGACATCCCATGCCAGGAAATCTCTGTAAATCCTTGTAAAACATAGGTGCTGAGTATATGAGGGCTGGACGGCCCTGGCCTCCCTCGGGAAGAGGCCCATCCCTAATTGGGTGGAACAGTCCCAAAATGGAAACATCAAGTCCCTGTCCTGGGCCTCATGACTCTGGGACAGCATTTGTGCTGGATTCTCAGTAGCATGCAGGGATCTAGGATTTCTGTTCATGGCCAAAAATACAGGAAATGGCAGGTTTCTCCTTGCAGGCTGGTGGAGGTGCAGGGAGCAGGATGCATGGGGTGCCACATGCATGTGTAGGCGTGCATATATGCACGTGGCCAGGAATACAGCCCCAGACAGCAGTGGAGAGCAGCTCCCCCAGCCACCTGCAGGTAAGTCAGGGGGGCAGGGCAGATGGAGGCCCACACAATGAGGGAGGGAGTGAGGAAGGGGTTGGGCCTGGGGGCACTGCCCAGCCAGGGTGGTGCATGGGGCCTGGGGTTGGGGCAGGGAGCAGGACAGAGCCACAGGCAGTATATCCAGGGGTTGGGGAGGGGGCAGCTCCCTGCTGCTGCTTACGCTTCTAGGGAGGGAGGCTTGGGGGCATGTGCCCCCCAGGTTTGTGCGCAGGATGGAGGCAGATGCAGGCTGCCTGCTGCAGCCTCGGGGCACCCTGCCCTGCTGCTCTTCCCCCAGGAGCCCATTGCTGGCCATGCTGCCATGGTGAGGTGCACCCTGGTCACCTGGCGGAAGCGGGGGCAGCAGCATGGAGTTGTGTCCCTAGCTCCTGCTTGGTGGGCAAGGGGCACCTTACCATGGTGGCATGGGGATCTCAGGGAGAGCAGCAGACTGGGGAGGCCCAAGCCTGCAGTAGGCAGCCTGCATCCTCCCCTGCCTCCTTCCACCGGGCACTGCTCAGTTCTGCTCTGGCTGTGCTACCAGGGGAGACAGTGATGCACATCATCTGCGGGCCCCCTCCAGCAAAAATAAGTCGGCACCTATGTTGTACAGGAATAATCTGTTACTTAATCCTGTTGGCGTGGCCAGCAACGGGCTCCTGGGGAGGAGGGCAGCAAGTCCCAAGGCTGCAGCAGGCATCCTGCATCTTGCCTACCCTGTGCACAAACCTGGGGGGCATGTGTGCCCCCCATGTGTCGTGTCTGTCTGTCTCTGTGTGTGTGT